CTCCAAAGCTCCGGAACTTCTGGTGGCGGGTGTGTAACAATCTGTTGGCTTCCAAAGCTAACCTTTTCCGATGTCATTATGCTCAGGATGAGTTATGTCCAATCTGCAATTGGGAAACTGAAACAGTGGAGCATTTGATTTGCGGTTGCGAATGGACGCGGGCGGTGTGGTTTGGGAGTAGCTTGAACATTGCGACAAATCTGAGTCCTATTGTTTCGATTCAAAGATGGACCTGTGAAGTGTATCAGAATATCTCAAATTAGTCTGAGAGAGTGGATTATTTTTGTCAGGTAATTTGGTTGGCTTGACATATATGGAAGTGTCGGAATGACATGGTTTTCAACCAGCAGCCCATCAACCCTCACTCTGTCATATTTCGAGTAGCCAAGGACTCATGTGAACATGCTTCGGCACTACAGACTTCTTATCCTACTCCCTCTCGGCTGAATTCCCATCGAACACCGGATCGAGTGTGGATACCTCCTCGGCAGGGCAGATTCAAAGCAAACTGTGATGTTGCACTCAGGCCTGGAACCTCCAGAGCTTCAATGGCGGTGATTTTTCGTAACAGTAGTGGCTCGGTAGTGGAAGAAACAGCTCGCTTTGAGGATGTGGGCTCAATTTTGCAGGGTGAAACGTTGGCAATTCGATGGGCATGCCTTATGGCTAGGTCGCTGAATCTATCTCAGGTGGAAATTGCTGGGGATAACAATCTGTGATTTGCTTGTGTGTCTGAAGATGATCCTCCATGGGAGTGGGCTCCTATCATCAGGGATATTAGAATCATAGCTAAACAGTGTAATCTTTCCTTTGTATGGACTCCTCGTGAGGCTAATAGTGCTGCTCATTGGATAGCGAGGGCCTTTTTAAATGGAGTTCTCCCCTCCAATTGGGTGATCAATCCCCCAGTTGGCTTATGTAAGGCTTTAGCCTTGTGCTAGTAATGCAATTTTCGCCTTTCCTCTAAAAAAAAAAATGTGTGTGATACCCACTACCCAATATGGTGGTTTCATGGAAGTTACAACTTCCATGATAGTGAGAAGTTATTAGGAGTTACAATGGATCATAGGTCCAAGCCTATTTATATATGCCTGTGATTGCCATTAAAATACAGACGTCGTTTTGTGAATAGAATAGGGTTGAAACTCTGTTCTTTCCACTTTTCCATATGGTTCTGTAAAAGTGTTTTGTGTTTTGTTAGTGGTTTTGTTTATACATTCAAGACTTAGGCCTCGTTTGGCCTGTAACAGTTTTAGCCTAAAAGTCAAAAAATTACTAAAAAAATCAAAAAACCTATAAGCTATACAAAAAAGTCAAAGATTCCATTTTCTCTCTATTTTTTGCACATTTTTTCATAGAAAATCAAAAAGTCATTCCAAACATATTAATTTTTTTTACCTCATAATTTAGCCAAAAAGTCAAAAAGTTACTAAAATAGCATGTTCCCAAACAAGACCTTAATCAATCAAGAACAAGATTTAAACGCTTGAATATCATGGCATGAGGTATTTTTCTTTCTTATTAAATTATTTTAATTCCCACATAAAGGCGATGCTCACATATAGGCCAACCGCTCGAGCGCAACACCTACCGCTCGAGGGGTAAAATATGTTTCCCAGAAGTTCAGAACGCAAGTTGAGATACTGAATGAATTATTGCATTGTTTGAGCGCACGAAAGACCACTCCAGCAGTTCATCAATTTTGAAATCTTGGTTTTCCCGTGCTTGGTCAGCGATGAAACAAATAAAGACTGCTCAAGTTAAGATACAGAACGTCAACACAAACTTCTCTACTTAGACATAATACATGTTGGATTCACATCTAAACTCTCATAACCTTACAAATAAAAGAAAATGAAAGGAATTATAGTTGAATGATATTTTTGTTCAACGAAACTATGAATTAAAAATAAAAAAAAAAAAAAAAAAAAAAAAAAAAAAACCTAACAGAAAGGAATCAAGACTGTCACGTCAGCTCAAAGTCTGACCTGACTCAACGCCCTAAAGTCGCTTTGGATTAGTGTTTTGATCCGATCACATAGTCCTATGGAGCCACAAATTAGTCATGTTAGTTGGGTTGACCCGCTCAAACGGAGCCAGACTTGTAAGTCATGCCTATAGGTTAGGCTCCTTTTTGAAGTGTGCATAAATTAGGTTTGATAGCCAACAGATCGAACAGAAATACAATTTATATTTATTAAACTATGCTATATATATTGTCAATATGTAAGGGAATATATACGAATAACGGCTTAGAAGAAAAATCCCATAATATGAAAAAATAAATAACTAAACAAAAAATCTCTAATAAAGAGTAAATATTCAATTTTCATTTCTGGTAAAGATTAACCCAATGATCACTCAATTGAGAGTATATTAAAGGTGGGTAACGGTTTATCCGATCTGCAAAATTCGTCCAACCTGCATATAAATGGGCGGTTTCGCAAACACAATGCGAGCGGATGCGATTTGAAATACGACACCCTTAAGAACTCAATCCTCCTTATTAATCTTAATCGTTGATTTCATTCCTATATCCTACTTAAATATTTTTATCAAAAACAAAACTCTCTTTATTCTTTGAACTTACTCTAACATTACATTTGCTAATAGCATTATATCAATTGAAATTGAATAAATATTGATCATATTATTATTGTTTCATAATTGAATTTGTCTCGGATGAAGTGTGATTTGGAATTTTAAATTTCTTAATGAATATGGAGTTATAATTTAAGATTTTGAAATATGTACTTGTGTTAGTTTATGATTTGATTTAGGATTTTGAGTGATTTATTTGTATTACGAATTGATTTTATTGTGTTTTTAATTTTATAAATTTTAATTCATTAATTATTAATATTGGAGCATTTTAGAAAATGGGGAAAAATGGCCCAAAATAAATATTTACAAAATGAGAAGAAAAAAAAAGGCTCAAAAATAAAATTTTGAAAAAAAAAATCCAATCCACAAACTGCTTGCAATCGCCCGCACATTTGAGAACTCTATCTGCACAAATTGCAAATCACATTGTGAGCAGTTACGGGTTGACTTTTCTTGAAACCGCATAGATGTAGACGGGTCCAAATCGATTAGCAAACCGTTCAAGTCCCAATTACGAAGACCCCTAGAATATATACACCTGACCAACCGAGCTAATCTATTTGGTTTAATAAATAAAAAATCTGCTTGGCTGCATTAATAATTGTCTAACAGATAAGATTTTCATATCTTTGACTTGTATATGACTACATTTTTAAAGAATTTTTGTTATTGACATCTTTTTATTTTAATTTTGCATTTGAATATTAAATTTTTATAGAGGGAAAAAAATATAAAAGGAAAAAATGATAATAATAATAATAATAATAACAAATATAAATTTCTACTTCATTTTATTTTATTTTATTTTGTTTTCATTTTCATCCAACTAAATGCAAACTTTATGAAATGTCAAGATCCAAAGGCAATATTTTTGACATGAGAGCATCGTGATGATAGTGATTTCATTGTTAATATATGATTAGATTGTAAATACAATATTATTGCAATAATGATGCAACAACAACCAAGTCAGACCAAAGAAAAGAAAGTGCCTGTTAATCTGTCAATAAGCGCCAGAAATTTTCACAAACTAACACCCAATAAAAAACCTAAAACAATCACCCTCAAATTAATTGAGATTGAGGCCCCTTTAAAATAAGTCAAAAAATTAATATTCCTTTTGTCTTAATATGTTAGTCTCTTATTTTATTTTTTATTGTCTTAAAATATTAATTTTTTTAAAAAAATCAATGATTAAAATGACTAAAATAACATGAATTTTTTTATTTAATTTTTTCATTCTTTTAAATTCATTAACATTAATATTTTTGAAATGTAATAATTGTACTACCAAAGAGTAGTTTTGAAAAATTAACATTTTTGAAATATAATAATTATACTACCAAAAAAAGTTAAATTCCCTAAAAGAAGCTAATATTTTGAGATGGAGTATAAATTATAAAATTATTCTCTCTACTTTCAGGTCTTTTATTATATATATAAAAAAATAGTGATACATCTCTCTCCAACTTTAGATAATAAAAAATGTCTAATATAATTTTTCTTATTAATTGAGAACCTCAATAGGTAAAATACCTAATTTACATTCAAATTTGCAAACACATCCAAACTCCAACCAAAACCCTTTCAACTCAACTCACTCACTCACTCACACACACACCTCCCCCTCCCTCTCCCTCCCCTTCTCTCTCTCTCTCTCTCTCTCTCTCTCTCTCTCTCTCTCTCTCTCTCTCTCTCTCTATGTTCTGAGTGTTAATGATTGGGAGCTCTAATAAAGGAGCTTTATTAAGCTCTAATGGGAGTGAATCTCATTGCGATGTGATGTTTTGACCTTAGTTTTATTTTATTTTTATTTTTTTTATTCTCTGTTATATCATTAAAGTTCAATTAGAATTTTAAAATTAGAGGGATATATCATTGCTTGTGATAAGAAGTCTTTGTACAAAACAATGATGATGGGAGGACATTTAAGATCTGCTAGGTGTTCGAAACTACAAAAATTGTATTATTAATTAATAAATTAGGTTTTTAGAATGCGAATTTAAACTAATAATATATTGATAACGAGAAAGTTTTTGATCTATGAAAGTAAAACTAAAATTAAAAGGAAATGAAAAAAAATGAACTTGAAAAAAAAGAGAAAAAACTGACCTTAAATATGTTAAATATGCTTGTGAAGAGAAATTTCTCTTTGCTGAAATTTAGTTAAAACACTTCAACTACTATAAAAATATTACGTATCTTTTATTTTATAAAATTTCAATATCAAAAATCTTAAACTAAAAATTCCTTATAAAAAATCAAAAAATTACTAAAAAAAATTAATTCACAATTCACTCAAAACTCCGTTCTTCTATCACTCCAATTGCTATGTACTATCTTATTAATATATGTGCACTCCTTATACAATTAATCAAATTTGCATAACACAACTCTTAAAAACACATGTCTATATATATATAATCATTATTCTTGTACAGTTCTATTACAAACACAAAATTCAAATAAAAAAAAAAATACAATACAATACAGAACATAATAAAATTTTACAGAATTTATGGGTCCAGTTCTAAACAATCCTATACACCAATATAAGTTCTGTATTTAATTCTCTAACTAATTTTTGTATGCTTAGAATTACTCTCATCTTGTGTTGAGTGAAGTGCAAAGTGTCCCTCGTCTCTCTTTTGTGAATAATTTATGTACATGTAACACATCTTATTATTATTATTTTTTTCCAATTTTTTTTATTATTTATTATTATCATCTAAATTTGAAGTAATGGATAGGAAATTACTGACCTTGAAGTTGAGAGCTAGGCTGAGTCAATGACCCAGTGTTGGCCATCGAGTTGGACTCGGAGTCCTTTGACTCGGGCAAACATATTCACAGCTCTCCTCACCCCCTTATTGTCAGCCGACGTCAAGTAGTCATGCCCAAAAATAACACCACCCGGTCTGAGCAGTTTATAAGCACGGTTTATATCTGACCAGGCCGAATGAAAATCATGACCCGCATCAACCTCGATTAAGTCCCCAAACACGCCCCACTGACACAGTTTCTCAAGACCCGACCCGGTGGCAAACGGAACATACAGAACCGACTCGGTCGCGTTTGATTGAACCACGTTCTGCATGAACTGGTACAGAAGTAAAACGTCGCCGTTCACCATCTTGATGTCCCTGAACCGGTCGCGAAAACCGGGCCATCCTCGAAAATCGTCGATACAGACGATTTGAGTCTTCAGGCCGAGTCCACTCGCCAACTCGGCCATGTGAATCGCCGAGGCGCCCAAGAACGTGCCAACCTCGATTATGGTCTTGGGTTTTACTTTGCGGATTAGGTTCTCGAATACGGCGCCGTATGAGCCCCACCCTTTGATTCTCTTCCGGCGGAGGAGAGTGCTAGCGTGCGCCGGGGGGAAGTTGTCGTACGGCGACGTTCCGTTGAAGACTCGGTCGAGAATCGTTTGGCGGACGAGTTTGGAAGGGACTGGGTCGGCGCACTGAGTTGTGAAACGGTAGTGGTCTTTGTCGGCGGCGAAGACGGTGGTGTCGGAGAGTGTGGATTGGGGAATTGTTGGGGGTAGAGGAGAGGGGTGCTGATGGTGGTGGTGGTGGGAGGTGGAGGATGGGGAGGAGAGATAACCGAAGGCGTAGGAGAGGAGGAGGAGGATGAGATAGGCGGTAGGTTTGGTGAAGTTCTTGTGGGTGAAAGCGGCGACGCGGCGGCGGTGGTGGTGGAGAGGTGGTTGTGGTTGTTGCTGTTGGTCTTCTTTCATTTTTATTTTTATTTTTATTTTTAATATTCTTGGTTTGGTTTCAAGAATTCAGTGTTGTTACTAGTAGTTAGAAAGAAAAGAGATATTAGAGCAGATGGATGGGGGGAAGGAGGATGAGGGTAAAGAATTATATGGTGTTTATGGGCATCATACTCTAACTGTGTTGTGACTAATAAAAATAATAAAAGATATAATAATTATGATTGGTTAAGGACGAATTTAAATATTGCCTTGGATCAGGAAATAGGAGGGGATGGGGTTGATTGCGTGTTTAGTACACAGCGGGTGTATGAAAACGACCGCCGAACGTCATCGGTGTAGTTGAGAGTTTGGAGGGACTTTTAATAGTCCGGTTGCATGTGGTTGTCCCAAATAAAATTAATTGCGTAATTTACACTAATTATCATTCAACATTTGAAAAAAAAAATCATTCATTTAGTTTTAATTTTCTGAATTTAATTTTTTTAAAATTATATATTTAAATAATAAAATATTTATGAAAAAATATTTTAAAAAATTAATAAATACACAAAAATATGAAAAAATATATTGAATTTATATATATATATATATATGTATATATATTTTTATATTTTTTTGGTATTTAGTGTATTTTTTAATTTTCTTTTTATAAATATTATACTTTTTATGTATATTTATATTAGGTGTGTCTAAATTTTTTTAAAAAATGCTTAAAATATTAAAAAGAATTCATTAAAACATTAAAATACAGAAAATAAAAAAGTAAAATTTTTGAAAACTATTTTTTGAAAATTAGAACCAAACAAGTTGATAATAAACATAAAATTAAGGGTTGAATATCACTTACATTTGAAAAAAAAGAAAAAGAAAAAGAAAAATAAATACAATTAGGCTTGGTTTGATTTATTAAAGTAAGGCATAAGAGTATCTCTAACTCACTAGACATATAATGGTTGCTAGTCAAAATGTTTAGTATAATTTATTTTTTTCAACTCTAATGCACGTATATGATTAAGTATTTTGACTCAACTTACAATTACTAGCTATATGTAGCTAGCTTTCAAATACTAGACAAAATGTATTTAATACTTAGGATCATGTTCCTTCATCTTTGTTGTTGATATGCCATTCTATAAAATTAATAATATTTAAATAAATAATATAGTTGAAGTAAAAATATAAAAAAGTTAATAAACACGTGAAAAAGTTAATGGATTGAAATTATTATTTTTAAATTTTTTTATATAATGATCATTTATAATGTATTTTTTATCACCATTTTAGTAAATTTAATGTGAGAATAAATGTTTTGATGTAATGAAGTTTCATTCCATTTCATTCTAACGTAAAAAGATGAAAATATCAAATTATTGTCTATACTTTTTTTGTTACAAAATTTATCATTTATACAATTAGACTTATCCCACATCATCTCTCTAACCTACTTAAATTTAAATAATATATTTCAGAAAGGGCCAAGCTCGTGGACTGGACGAAGCTGTTTGGCCTGTGGGATCCACCACGGGTTTTATTTCGATAATCTAAACTGTTCAATATGTAGAGCTTGTCGATTATTTTATCGCTTAAAAAAATTATGTTGATCGGATATTGATAGCTACTTGATCGGATCAAATTTTTGTTAACAATTTATTTTAAAAATTATATTTAGGCCTTGTTTGAGGTACTTTAAAAAAGTTAAAAAAGTCAAAAAGTCACTATCTTATAAGTCACATCATTTTATTTAAGTCACATTACCTCTCTACCACATCACTTCAAACCCAACTCGTACCCAATCCATATTTCACAAAAAGTAAAAAAGTGCACTTATTTAGATCATCCTAAACCACCCCTTACTATTGACAGAAATTTGATCCAATTAAGTAGCTATCGCTATCCGATCAACGTGATATTTTACAAGAATAAAGTACTTAACGAGTTTACACATTGAACGATTCGGATTATTGAAACAAGATCCATGATAGACCCCACAAACTTAACAACATGCTCTAATTTGATCTCGAATTAGAGAAACCTGGCCCTTTCAGAAATCCCTTGACTTAGTTCTCATCATTAGGCTCAAAGGACCACCCGATCCCATCTAGCCCAACTAAACCCAATTATTTAATTAAACAATTTTCATTTGTAAAATGATAATATATTGTTTGATAGTTGTGTAAGTTATGACCCAATTGTGACGGATGACTCTTTATAAAAACTGTGGTGTCCCAACCGAGCCTCATCTTCTGTTTTTGGTTCCGTTTTGTTTGATTCTAAAATTTTTATGATTCATTATTTTTTGTTTGGTTGTAAACCTATTATGATTTATTTTTATTTTAAATTTTATGAAACCATTGATAGTTATCTGATCTTTGATTTATTTCAAAATCGAATTAAACCACACCATCCTTACCCCTAATGGAATAGGGGATTAGGGGAGGGTGTTGTGAGTTTGTGGAGGTGTTTTTTTAATTTATTTTGATGATCCAAACAATTCTCATTGAGTAAATCATTCATAAATTTTTTTTTTTTTTTATTAAACATCTATAATCCATAAGACTATATTTATGTTTTAAGAAAATAAACGGTTAACATAATTATGATAATTTTTTTTAAAAAAAAGAAAAATTATGATTCGATCATGGGGTTATACATGTCTGATTAATCTCATTTTTTATATAAATAATACACTCGACGGACATTATAATATGAACGGTTCAAATTATCAAAATAAAATTAAAACGAACCTCAATCAGAATGCCACAGCGAGGTATTGTGACACCATCCTCCCTTCATCCTACTCGTAATACACATAGACTAATAAAATCAACATATTAAATTATTAGAGAAGGGCATGTGATAACTCGATAATATCTATTCCATTAAACTGTTGTAGAAAAAATAAATAAGTTGTGTATGAAAAGAAATAAGATTCGTTAAAGAAGAAAAATAGAACACTAAAAGGCAAGACACATTTAGGATGCTTTCTTTAAAATAGTAATTTCTCCTCTATTATACAAAAATATATCTTGAAAATTATATTTCTAGGATACAATGCCTTATTTCAAACAATAATACTAATATTTTATTTATTTAAACAACTATAAATTCCATCTCATGAATATCTGTAATAGAAGATCTCCAATGAAAACTTGAAAAAATATAAAAAGTTCTTCATCTATTTATAGTCGATGAGAGCATACTCATTTGCTTAAGATTTCTATGTGGGAACCAAACTATTAAATTTCTTTTAAGTGAAAGTGTAGAGATCCCTTTAGATTTCAATGTAGAAATCAAAAAAGGAAACAAAATAAAAACATAGATATTATTATTGTTATTGATAAATAATATATAACAATATCAAGCAGTGTTTACTTTTATTTTTATTCTTTTTCTTTTCCCTTTATTACTTTTGTTTCCTTTTTCAACTTTGGTGTGAGTATGGAATTTTACTTTGCTTTTCTCATGTTTTAATGTCTTTGAACGGGGATTTTATAATTTTTCAAAATTTGATAAGAGCATTGACTGCCATCTGATTAGTTGGAGAGTTGGTCAAATTTTCGGAGAACAGTAGACAGATCCAGCATCTTATTTTGAAGAGATAGCATATGTAATTGTAATGCTATCGAATAAGATGATATTAAAAAAATTACATTTTATAATGACATAAAAATAATTTAAATATAATTTTTTTAAAAATTATTTTTTATTTAAAAATTATAATAAAATATTTAAATAGAATGAAAATAAATTTATTACAAAATAAACGTATCTAAATAAAAAAAAAAAGGTAAGAAAAAAAGTTAGAATGATATTCCCATTTGATCTGAATATAATTCTAGATGAACAATAAATTATTACCTATAACCCTGATTTTTTTAAATAAAAAAAAGTTTCACAAACCAATACTTTTAATAGATAAATAACGTTTCTTTCTATTTTATTTTAGCAGAAGTCACTTTTTAGCAATTTAAGCTAAAAATATTTTTACTTTTTATTTTTTATTTTAATTTGTTTAATTGACAATTGAGATTTTAAATTTTTTTCTTTAATAAGATCCACCTTGTTTGGCATGCTAAAAAAGTCTAAATGAATAATAAATTATCACATGTAATTCCTATTTTTTATTATAAAAAAAGTTTAAACTATCACTTTTTAAATGAAAAATAACGTTTATTTCTATTTGATTTTAACGAAAATCACTTCTTAACTATTTAAGTCAAAAATATTTTTATTTTATTTTAATTTTTTTAATTGACAATTGAGATTAAAAAAAAAAAGAGAGAGAGAAATTTAACAGAATCCACCATGTTTGGAAAAGGCTAAAATAGTCATTTGCTTTCTTAATATTTTTGTCTTTTTTTTAAAAAAAAATATGTTTTTATTAAAAAAATATTGTTCAAGTCCTTATAGTTTAGAAGGATATAATTTTCTTTATTAAAAACTTTAAACCAAAAAATAAAAAATAAAAAAATATAAACTTTTAACAACAATTAATAATTTGAACATGTGTATTTAATAACATATTATATTTAGACCAATAATATTATGACACATCATTATGGCACACGTGAATATTAATCACATTCTAATTATAATAATATAATTCAAAGAAGAATTTAAATTTAAAATTTTATTTTATAATTTAATAAAGGTAGCATAATTTAAGGAATGAATATTGATCTCATTCCAATTATAAAAAACATAATTTAAAAAACAATTCAAATTTAAAATTTTATTTTAAGAATACAAAATTAGTTTATAGACCAATCATATTGTGACATATTTTAATAAAAATTAAACAAAATCAAAAAAATAAGAAAAAAGAATTGTAACTTTGAGCCTTAAAAAGATGACAATGTTTTACAACTATAATAATATATAGATACATTTTAGGAAAAATTACTTATAAATCCCATTTGGGGAAATGTTAGTCCATTTAGTCGTATATGTTTTTTTATAAATCAATTAATCCTTTTTATTTGTAGTATGTATTATTAATTTGATTTAGTAATATTTGAATTTACTTGTTTGTCGTTGTTTGAGATTTGGTTTTTTTGTTTTTTTTGGATTTGGGTGTATGTGGGTGAGGTATGATTTAACATTTCTATTTTTTTAAAGATTTCGTGAAGTGATTGGGGGGATTGTTGATGTTACCAACTTGGTATTACATTATTGAT